TCTTTGATTTATATATTTTTTTTTATTAATTATATTTTTATAATTGACAATAACTTAACTATCAATTATGATATTATCGTTTATATTTTATTTTCTGATGATAATAATTTTAATTTAATTTTTTTAAAATCTTATATATATATTAATCTCAAGAGTTATTAGATTATTAATAAATTTTAGCCTAAGTCGACTTCAATAACCTGTCCCAAATTTTGACTACATTAAGTGAAATTGCATTTTTTTTTTCTCTTACTGCACTACATATTACTTTAGAATTTATCTAATATGTGTATCTTGAGCATTTGATGTATTAATTGTATTTTTTTATATTTATTTAATCTTTATAAAAAAATTAAAAGATCAATTTTATTTTTATCACTAATATTATATATCTTTAATAAGATAATTAATAAATTAAAATTAATTTTTAATATAAATTAATTATTAAAGAGTATAATTAATAAAACCACCTTAAAATAAAGTTTAGAAAAGCTAATTACTTGATCCTAGTGGAGTTTAGCATTCCACTCATCTATTTTTTGATTTTTTTTATTTACCCCAATTGACGCTAAAGCACACGGATGACAGCGTCATTTGGGGTCAGGCGAAATATACTAATAAAAAAAAAGGGACCATAAAGCAATGCTAGGAACACTCGCCATTTGCAGTCTCGAACCAACACTTCCATTTTCATTGGGCCACGTTATGTTGGTTTAGGAGGGGTAATCCATTTCATAGCCAAAGTAAGCTTACGTGGCCCAATAAAAAGCATGTGTTGGCTGGAAGATTTTAATTCTAAATCGATATATATTATTATGAAAAAAGTATCAATTATTAAATAGTATTTAAAATTATAAAAAAAAATAATACAAAAAATTTGCCTCAAGCATTTTCCCAAAAAGGTTAAAGCCAATTATAGTCCTTGTTCTATGCATTTTCGTTCATTGTCATCCCTTTACACCAAAAAAGTTCATTTTTGCCCCTCTACTCTTCAAAAGTACACTGTTGCCGTCCCTCTACTTTGGAAAAGCGTTATATTGTCATCCTTCGATTGACACCGTTTCTAACATTAGAGTAACGTCGTCCATTTCACTGTTAAGTGTTAAACTTTTTATTAAAATAATTATTTTTAATCTCATTTTTAGTGCGAGGTACCCATGGTTATAACACATCAGCCCAAATAACAATTCTTAGTACCGTCATGTTCCCTCGTGCAGCCTAATCCTCGAATTGGCAAAACCTTTTACATAGCAAAATATTATGCTCTTTTCTTTTCTCTATGCACTTTTTTATGCCACATGTAGTTTAAATATATTCAATCAACAAGAGAGCACATTATTAACCAAACGATTTTTTTTAATCTATGTTCTTTAGCACATATGAAGAATATAATTATTATACTTTTTTTTATATTAATTGTGTATAACAAAAGATAATTTTCTTTCATTTTTTATTTTACTTTATCCGTATTACAACTCGAATTCTTACTTTCAATAAAAAAAATTATCATTAAATTATTTAAGTCATTAGTAATTAATACATTTTTTAATCATTAAATTACATAAAAAATGAAAAAAATTGATATTAGGCCTTTTTGTTTATATTAACAATTAGGATATCTATGAGTTAGCTTTCATGCACCTTTAAACTAATCCCTTCCCGACTAATCTTAAAAATAGGCCCCCACATTGGTTTAGTACATTCTGAGAAATTAATTTCCTATGGTACTAACTTAAAAACTTAAATTTTAGACTTAATTTAGGAGACAACACTTATTTAGTACTGGATTCAATTCTTGGATTTAAAAAAAATTGTGCATATGAATTTCAATATAAGACTTGCATCTAATTTAAAATTAATTGATATTAATTTTAATTAACATCAATTTCACGTATATTAATTTAAGTAATTAGTTATTAAAATTAAAGTCATATTTTATTTTTTTATATAGCTTATGATTAAAAGGTGAATTAATTACATCATTAACATATGACTTAAGAGCTTATGTTAAAAAAAACATTTATCAAAACAAAATTCATATTTCAAGACACACAGATTTGAGCTAAAAAAGACAGAAGGAGTCAATGCATAGGAAAAAGGAATAAGATTGATTCTCATTGCTTGCAGAGAAACAAATATTGCATATTGTTATTATTATTTTATATCACACAATAAAAAGTAACACTTATTCATCCCTTAACTCACTTTACTTAATTATTAATCTTAATAGTAGACATTTGATTATATTTACAGTTTAATATTTAGACACTGTTCATACACGTTAAATAGTTCTATATTTTTATCAACTAAACAATAAAAACCAAATTACAAAAGAGAAAAATGATTAGTATATATTTAATTTAACATACTTTTTTATACTCGTCCAATTCAAATATTAAAAATATAATATAAGTACAAATAATTTAATCAATTTTTATATCTTATATGCATAATTATATTTTT